GTCTTAGGTTACAGAAGTTAACTCCAGTTCCAGCACCAGAACTAGCACGAGAAACACAAGAGGAACACCAAAAAGAGGGTATGAGGTTGTCAGCAGAGGTGTGAGAGAAATTGACAGTTGGACATAAGCTTCGATAAGTATAGCGTGGATGAAGAGCAATCCACAACTCAACACAAGTTTTGTAAATTCCAGCTTGTAAAGGTGATGGCAGGTTCAAATGAAGAAGCTCCTCAGATGAGTAGCATGGAGCCATTGTAGAAAACGTATTATGACGGACAAAGGTACAGGTGAGACTGACATGCCATGCACTACAAAAAATCTGTAAAAACCGGCAAGCAGGGCAAAAACATTCAGCCAAAAACAGCGCATCATTCTTTCAACCTCGTCTCCCACACGACCATTTTAGAGAACACGTTAGCCTGAACACCACAAAAAAACACCCAGAAAACTAATTGGGTAGGAAAGGAGCAAACTGGAAAGAAATGCCCCAGACCTTTAAAACCCGAAAAATAAAAGCAGGTAACAGACCAGCGAGAAAGTGGAGACTTACCCACGGGTCGATATACAGCAAAACAGGGGGTAATTGAGGGATCGAAGGCTCACGAACGTTCAGTGACGAGCAGGAAAGAAGATAGTGGGGTAGGCTAAACATCCAATCAAAGATGTCAAAACTCACAGAGATCAGATGGTTTCAATCCAAATCGTCCAGTCCAGGGCGGTAAAACAAGCTGAGACAAAATATTAAAACAGGGATCACCAGAGAGCAGACCGGAGAGTAGCAGCAGACAACCACGCCAGCGTTGTTATAAATACTTTTTTTTCTCACTTCTGCTGACTGTCATACATGCAAGCTGTTCCGGCGGATAATATAGGATGTACGCGTCGTGCACGCGATGATTGTTAATTAATGACTTAAGCTACCTGGGTCATCAACTTTTTTACTTTTTGTTTGGTCTCTTTGTACTACACAACAGAGTTAACAAAGAAAGAGATGGAAGAGGAAAGGTGGTTAAGCGTACTACCAATGCTAGGAGTTATAATAGGGCCTGCAGAGTGGGGGCCTGCAGAAATAGGGTCACCCATGTGGGAACCAGTGGCAAGGCCAACCCCCTGACTCTTCTAAGCACACAGCTGCAGGGTCTCTGGATCACTTATCCTTTCTGCATTCAAACAGCCACAACTTAACCCAACAGGGCAGCACTCAGATGAGGTGTGTCAATGACCAACTCGCACAGCCAAAACTGGGGCATTGCCTGAGGAAAGGAAAAACATAGAGAGGAAAAAGGGTCAATCTATGAGGAATGCCCAAAAGGTATACCTACAGACATCTCTACAGAGTTATAACTAAGCTTATTAACATAACGTAGTGGCCAAAAATGATGACCTAACTAGGAAAATTGTGTTTTGTGGGACCACCTCAAAACAGCTTCTAAAGACCTGCAAAACTATACCATTTTTACGAACTTGCAATTTGATCTTTAACTGTACGTAATCGGCTGCAAGAGGCTGGATTCAGAGGTTGTGTACCACTAAAGAAACCATTTATTATTTTTAGATAATTGGAAGATTGGAGCTGTGTTCTGCAGTCTGATGGTGGTCTACACAGATGCAGCATACTAAAGCAATAAGCCCCAAGAAGCCGTGGTTTACAGTGCCAGTGAAACCACGGCATCACAGGGCTTAGTACTTTTATAATGTAAGATTTTCGTACAGTGCACACAGTGTGATATATTTCATGCAGTTGTATACTTATGCTATCCCAAAAGTTCCGAAGGATTTGTAAATACAGAGAAATTAACATTTTAAATAATGACTCGTCCCTGGTCATTGTTGCCTATCAATGACGTAATATCCACACTATCCTCAGTTTCCACTTGTAGAAACTATGGCAACACATGGACAAAAATGCAGCTGTACAGTTAAACTACATCCATTACGGCTGTCGCAAATGAAATTAAAATGAATTGAACATTTCCGTAGCATTAAATTTAGATCTGCTTTGAAAATTAGATCTCAATGTTGCACCATGATTTTTTTATGCGTTTTAGAGTGTTGCGCATCATAACCAATCACACACGAGTCTGTTGAGCTTATGAATGCAATGGCAAATAAGAGGCATTCAGTTTTATGTTCACTGCAAGCGCTCACCGACTGAATTCAGCTCTCACGCAAATTCTCTCATCATAGACAACAAAGTGCAGATGTACGTATGATGTAAGAGATTCATTCATAAAACCGTGTACAGACAGCTTTACTGATTATAAGGGGAGTTTTTTAAGTCCTTAAACTCGCACTAGACATAAGTCAGTCATAATGTTCTTTGACAATGTAAATGTTCTTTGCTCGCTTTCCAGTTGTGGTTGCAACAAAGTGGTTGCCGAGCAACACACAAACGTAAACAAAGGTGTATGTTTGTAGAGTAATTTACAACAGCTTCAAACGTGGCTCAGCCAATCAGAATAAAGCACCGGAACTCTCCGTTTTATAAAAAAATGTAAAACTAATTATGTTAACCCTCTGGGGTCCGAGAGAGAAGAGAAGAGAAGTTTTGACATGCCCTTTTGACATTTGTGCTTTTTCAGTTTCTTATAAACATATTAAAGGCACAATATGTAAGATTTTCGTACAGTGCACACAGTGTGATATATTTCATGCAGTTGTATACTTATGCTATCCCAAAAGTTCCGAAGGATTTGTAAATACAGAGAAATTAATGTGACCTCTAGTGGCGAAAACGTACATATTGTGCCTTTAATGGCTAAAGTCTGATTACACTGTATTCAGCACAAACTGCTCTACAATAGTATGTGAGCAGCAAGTATGTACAAGATTGTATTTTGGAGAAAACAACGCTTATGCATACATTTGTTCACAAGACATTTTGTGTTATTTGCAACACAGTATATGCAGCTGTACAGTTAAACTACATCCATTACGGCTGTCGCGAATGAAATGAAAATGAAATGAAAATTTCCGTAGCATTAAATTTAGATCTGCTTTGAAAATTAGATCTCAATGTTGCACCATGATTTTTTAATGCGTTTTAGAGTGTTGCGCATCATAACCAATCACACACGAGTCTGTTGAGCTTATGAATGCAATGGCAAATAAGAGGCATTCAGTTTTATGTTCACTGCAAGCGCTCACCGACTGAATTCAGCTCTCACGCAAATTCTCTCATCATAAACAAGGGGGTCGTCTTATAATCAGGGTCGTCTTATATTCGGGCCAATACGATACTATCATACAGTACAACAATGGCATGTTATATCTGAAAAACAAAATAATTTTTAAGCACATTATAAACATTTACTTTTGAGCAAATATTCACAAACAGTGTGTTTCACAGTAAACACTGATCTAAGGATTCTTAGACTCTAACATTCATAGTGTTAAAGTGTAAACTTTTATATCGTATTAAGTCAGTCACTTATATTTATATAGCGCTTTTTACAATACAGATTGTGTCAAAGCAGCTTTACAGTATTAAACAGGGAAATAGTGAGTAGCAATGCAAAAGGACAAAAGTAAACACTCAATGTTCAGTTAAAGGGAGTTCATCATTGAATTTAGTGATGTCTTCGTCCAGTTCAGTTCAGTTTAAATAGCATCTGTGCAATCAAGTCAACGATATCGCTGGAAATTAAGTGTCCCCAACTAAGCAAGCCAGAGGAACCAAACCTCCATCAGTGACAGAATGGAGAAAAAACCTTGGGAGAAACCAGGCTCAGTCGGGGGCCAGTTCTCCTCTGGCCAGACGAACCAGCAGTTCAATTCCAGGCTGCAGCAAAGTCAGATTGGAATAAGAATGAAACAAGTACATCGTGTGTTATGTAGACATCTACGCAGCAATTGCGAATGTCCAGGAGTGTCTGACGATCATAAACAAAAGACTCAGCATAGTTGGAGGGTATGAGAGCACATAAAGCCAACCAAATCGTCCAGTTCAGTTCAGTTTAAATAGCATCTGTGCAATCAAGTCAACGATATCGCTGGAAATTAAGTGTCCCCAACTAAGCAAGCCAGAGGAACCAAACCTCCATCAGTGACAGAATGGAGAAAAAACCTTGGGAGAAACCAGGCTCAGTCGGGGGCCAGTTCTCCTCTGACCAGACGAACCAGCAGTTCAATTCCAGGCTGCAGCAAATATGAGAGCACATAAAGCCAACCAAATACAGGACGTAGTAAGGAGCGATAGACGGCATGCCACACTCACAGGCGCCATCTTAGTTTCCAAAAACTCTTAAATTGGTTTGGAGGTTTTTTGTATTTTCTAGTTCGGGGAACAGACACAGTCTCTATAGTGTGATATCTAGGTGAAAGAGTCTCTATGTGCTGAGAATTAACTGATTTCTGTGACGTGAGGCGGCTAGCAGACGGTTGGTTTAGCCAGTCTGTCTGCTTCCTGACCTGGGCCCCAGTTAGTCAAGATTATGTGCCATATTTCTAGAGAGAAGAGCGGCAACACCCCAGAAGGGATGAAGACCATCTCTTTTCAACAGGTCAGGTCTGCCCCAAAAACTCATCCAATT